TGAAATACCATTGCACTGTTTGATGTCATTCTTTATTATCTGGGCTGCTTGGTACAAAATGCTAGCCTTATCCTGTTCCATATCCTGTCTCGTGTCCTCATCGACTTCAAAATTTTCACTGGACTGCTGAGAGACTGATGTTTTTACTATGTCTGCAACTGACAAATGACTGGAATAAATTAATTCGGGCTTCGAAGGGTCGTTCTGCTTCTCGATGACTATTTGGTCTAAGAAATGGCCTCTCATTCTTTTTTTGAGCTTTTCGCTGCGATAATTGCTGCAAGAAATGCCTTTGACTTCCAATACCTGCTTATAGCGGTCTAACAAATGGCTCATGTCATAAATCTTTCCTTCAGATAATCTAGGAGTAATTTCATCCACTAACATAGCAAACGCTACGGAATACATACTCTCCTCCTCTTCATTATCTTCCTTGTAACTGAGACATTTTAGGTTTGTCTTACTGACATATTTGCTTCGACTTTTTCCGTGATACTTCGCTTCTTTCGCTATCAAATCAACGCCTTTGATATTTAAAACAATCGCTGGTCATCACGAGCAATGGCAGCGTCTACAATCGCTTGACAAGAATCAAAGCTGGCAACACTTATAAACTCTTTTACGCCTTGGTACTTCTTTTTTTGGCAAAATATACATATTGACCAATCTACACTTTCATATGTGGACCTGGAAGTCCTGTCTACTTTTGCCTTCTTGGCTTCTTGTGGCTCATCTTCAGAATCCGCCATATCTAATATTTTAAAGGAGGAAAACTATCTTTCACAATTTTACCAACAAAAAGTTCTCAAGTGTTACTAAAGCAAACACACCGGGAAATTCTCTATATATACAGTATATGTATATCTAAAAAAAGGTAATTGCTTTACAATTTATAATCAAATACATGTTTTAAAGATCAATGGTTCAGTTTATATTGGATTGCTTATAAAAACAAGGACTGTTGTTTTCGATTTTCACAAAGAACTTACAGAGATTATAGAGAACAATTTTCTTTAGTTCATCAGCTCAGTAAAATAATCAACTAATCAACCCTGAAAAATCTTTTAACCTACACCTGGCACGTCAACAATAAAAAAATAAGTGTTTAACGCGATTAAAAGTAGCAAAAGGGAAGCAAAAAAAACAATTAATTCTTACCTTTTGAAGATTAAATCGATCCCGCAATTAAAATGGCGGATGCTACTCGCAAAGCAATTCGGGATATGCATCAAAGGCATCATGGGAATGAAAAGGAGGAATGGATAAGAAATCAACTTAAGAGGATTTACGGAAATAAATAACTCTCATAAAAGTTGATTGTAAAAGCTTTAAGAGCTTTACCGCAAATTACACAAAATCTGAGCAACTAAAAAATCAAGTATTTCAATAATTTAGTATTAAATTTTCGGTACAATACTCAAGAAAGAAAGCAAAGCCTCTCAAGACACAGAGATAATAATAACGTCAAATATAACAATACCGTTTCAAAACATATGTATTTGTATCCAAGATCTTTACTAAAGACTCTCCACTCTGATTAACATTTCTAGACACACACGTTATTATTGACGTTAGACCCCCATAGACAGAGTTTCCTTATAAACCGTTACCATGGCAACGCAAAAAAGGCACAAAATACATCAGAGATTGTAGCTCTTATGGATTAACAGGCGTTGGCCAAATACTAACCCATTTGCCTGATTAAGTAAAAAGATATGATTTTTCAAAGTTTTAACCCTGTACGAAAATGCTGAAATTTGATGATTCAAAATACCCCCCACCCCCTTCAGAAATCGCAGCGTACCAAGTCACTGACCCCACAATTTGTAGATCCGAATGTCGAACAAGTGATCTGTGGGTATTTGGCTATCTGAATCTGTTGTCAAACCTTTTGTGTGGTGGGGGTGCTACGACGTTGTATTTTTTCCGGCCTCTGCTCCTCGACTATGAGGCTCTAATGCTTGCAATGAAGTTGTTCTTCAACACAGAGGTTGTTTTTGAAGAGCTGGGCTGAGAAGCTGTTTCCCTCTTCTCTCGAAATACTTCAGTCACATGTTTGGAGGACTTGTCACTTGTCAATGGGTGACAGGCCCCAAGGATCTGTTCCCACCATTATACACCTTTGATTGCAAAGTAGCAGAAAAATAAGCCGTTAGCTTCCAATAAGCGGAACAAGCAGCATTAACTCAGGTTATTGTACCCCAAAACTAACAAAGTAGAACAATGCCGGGAGATTTCTCTTGCTGAATTGCTGTTAAAGAATATTAAATACTCTTGACTCGACTAATGTCTTTTCCTGGCAAACAAAATCGTACATTGAAGGCAAGCTTGCTCACGCAATCTCACATGGTCTTGTAGTGTCAGAGAACTTAGCTAGAGATGATTTACCTTCATGGCTTCTTCTAGGTATTCTGGAAAGTGATAATGACTCTTTGCTCGATCCCCTCGATTTAAGCTTTGATTTCTTAACCCAGTTCTCAAATACATTGCCAAAGGCTAATTTCCTTGCCATTTGCTCATTATAACTAATGTGAGCCTTCTTTAACTCTTTTTCACAACAGAGCAGTTCAAGACATTCAATGTAAAAGAATTGTGGAGATAGATGTCATACAAATTAGACAATTTATCGAACATATCTTTATGTACATGTGCCAAGTATGTGCATAATGTTTTTTTGTGTTTGCTTATACATAATGCTTTGATACTGCTTTTTAGTGTACAAAATTATTATTTGTGATTGAAGGCAAGTTTCTAAAACAATTGGTTTTTACAAATAACGTGTTGTTATATATTTTATGAAAATTCGAGTTAAGCAAGTTTGAATTCATCCAGCCATGACCTGCTCACAGATTACTTCTGACCTGTATCTAGCAAGAATGGGTATTGTAAACCTCGTGGCCTAGTCCGCCATGTTTTAGTTGTCCCCTGACGGAAACAATGCTAATTATGATAAATGGTGATAACAAGAAAAGAGGTAAACATGAAAGTTTGAGAATTAAAAGGGATAGCTTTAGATTTACGATGTGTAATTGTTGATCCAAGGATGGTTGTTCTTTTTGAATATGAATAGCCTCTTTTATCTTGAGTTGGAAACTGGTAGAGGTGTGATCCAAACGTGGAAGCTATCTGCTGAACACAAAGTGCAACAATGTGCAGAATCTTGCAGATGCTTGAAAATGTGAGAGGCCTTGTCAATGACTGAGTGCTCTCCTACATGTGTGGAAAAATGGTGGCACGTTTCACCGATGTAACAGGCGTTATAGCCAGCGCATACAAACTTGTAAACCACACATGAATGGAGCTCACCAGGGACAGGGTCATCGGCAACTACTAATGAACATGAGGTTTGCTGTGATCTTTGTTTTGCTCTGCATACCTTTGCAATGTGGCCTTCTTTGCCACAGTAGAAAGAACTCTTCATTTTCAAAGTTATTTGCCAAGAAATACAGTGTAAGTCGTTCCGATTAGTGAATCCATTTTTCTTGAGTAACATTGAATTCTTCGATTTTTCTGTAAACTGCCATGTTTGTGTTCCAAAGTTGTCTTAGTTCAACGTTTTTGGTTCGGTTGTAGAGTTATCCTCGTCGCCAAATGACCTGTATCTAGCAAGAACAAGTATTGTAAACCTCATGGCCTAGTCCGCCGTATTTTATTTGTCCCCCGACACAAAGCACACTGGATCCTATGTGCACAGGGGGCCTAATACACAACAACTTCCGACTGAAGTCTATTCACCAATTGGTTTCATTTAATTAGCTCTTGGTCCATTCAAATACCAGCACGACCTAAGAAGTTGCAAGGCACTCTTCTTCCCCTGCTGGTATTCATCCCAGTGCACAAACAACTTTGCCTGCATCTCTCTGTACTTCTTTCTCTGGACTCTTTTCAGTCTTCTGTCTGACACCAAGCGGATATTGACTACTGTGAGGAGGGTTTCTCTGTAAAGAAGCCCTATCAACACGTATAAAGGTAGCTTCCACCTACCACTAGCTTGGTTATGAAAGCTGTGTACCAGCCATTGACATCCTTGTTGGTTCGTACAGTCGTTGTAGATGGACCAGGAGGTTGGAGCCCAAACCGAACTTTCTACTCAAGTACTCCCAATGTAATCGACAAACCTCTTCAATCCAGCACCACGTGCATCTGATTTTAGCTTCTGGAATATAGGTCCAATCTCTGATGGAGGCAGGAAGGGGAGGGCCACTAGCCTCTACGATATTTGTAGGTCCCATTGTCTTCTCTATGTTGTGTTGCAAGACCCAACTCTTATATCTACCAAATGATAAAATGAATCCTTAGAATAAAAAAGGGATTATTGATTATTTGTGTTGATGGATAGATGTAACTGCTTAACTATGTGGTTTTGATGAAGAACAGTATACCTTTCTCCACAAACATTGTGTCCAGTAGAAGACGCACCCTTTGATGCGAACATCTGGCATAACTTTCCTAATTGTTCCCTAAAAGCCAGCCTTGAAGTCTATTGTTATCTGCTTCACTTCTGGATCAAAAGACTAAGGATAACTTTGAATACCCAAGAGAAGGATAAATGTTAATTTAAAAAATACCTAAAAAAACTGATAGAACTATTGAGCTGTCAAAACAATTACAATAACCTCCATCAAAAAGCTATACTTTTTAATGTTACATAAAATTCACACACAAGTTACGTCTGTAATCTCTCCTTCTTTTCTCAGCCATGAGGAGGAACAGCAATAGAACTTTTTCGGTTTGGTCTCCACTTCTCACAAAGGCATTGAATGTGAGCAGCTGGCTGAATGGGTGACAAATCAGCTTGAATGTTCCATCTACATACCAGGTTTTTGCTTTGCTGAGGTATTTGAGTTGTTCTCTGGTAGTGAACAGGATGTGGCAAGTGTTGGATGATTCCAGGTTGGCCTGTAAGAAATCGTCTGGGATGTGGTTCTGTTGTAGCTTAAAGTTAACATCTTTTGGTTCATCAGGGCAGAGTTGTTGGCAAAGTCTACATACAGATACATTCAGGTCTTGGTAGGGTAGGACAGGGTGCATTGGTCAATTTCTCCAACAGGACCTGGAACAACCAAATTAGGCAAAGGTCAATATTAGTTCCATAAACAACATGTATATTTGTACAATTATTTTGGCTTTAAATATTATAAATGTTATCACGCATACTGAATAAATATCAATTTGTTCCACCAGTTACCTCCCACACAATGGTTGATGCTTTGACGTCTTTTAGAATTTTAACAGCCACTGCTGCCCCAACTTTACCAATGTGGTTGTGGTTGCCCTTTACTTCAAAGCTTCCATCACGTTGAACAACCATAGTAGTACAGGCATACCATTTGGGTCTCACCATACACTGCCAATGAGTGTAACTTTTTTAATGGCGTTTGATGTTATATTGGTAGCCCAGGCTATCAACAAGTTTGTCCCCATCCTTCTTTGACCCATTTCTTATGATCTCAAATGTCTCTGGAACATTTCTTTCATCTACTGGTGGATCATCAATTGACATCTCAACTGTAGAGAGAAGAAATAGGATTTGTGGTAATAATGTATATATACAATAGTATATAGCAACAGTATATAGAATATTTCAACAGAATATAACAACAGTCTATAGCAGTATATAGCACGTGACAACAGTATATAGCATGCAGCATAACATACCATCTTCTTAAAATTCTTCCTCACACAGCAACTATTCAACTCACAGCTCATCTGGAGTTGCGTCTGTAAAAATAGAGAATACACATACATACATACTTACGTCATGTAAGTCAAAATGTCTATGACACTTACCATAAGAGCTACCATCAATAGACTTAGTTGAATTATGTAGTTATTTCATCTGATGGTTGTAAATCTGCAATAAAATAAAGAAAGAAAATTTTAAAAACAAAAGAAACTAATCTGCGAGATTTTTGGCAGGAAGGCTTCTATAGAGGTAAGATCATAGAATTTACATAGTATAAATACCTTCAGCAGTACAAGAGCCAACATCCATAGATCCATTATAAATATCTTTTTGTGGGGAATCGGTAACTAAATCAAAAAGCAGATAACATTTTAGTAAGGTACATAGGTCATGTACTTATGAGTAGACCTATAATGTAAGCAAGTAAGTATAGGATATACCGTAGAGGAAACATGCAGAAGATGGTGCATGTGTGCTCAAGTAGAGTAGAAATGTCTTTCTTTCTTCCGTTTGGAACTTATCTGAGACAAACCAAAAAAGATGACTGAAAAAGATAGTCAACTTAGAAAGGAAAATTAGCAATTGAGAAACGAAGTTGCTGAACTGAAGAAACATTTTGAAAAGTTAAGTGCGGAAATTGGTAACAGAACCGAAGAAAGTTATCAAGCTAGGGCTAATCATGGCAGTAATTCATCGCCAGAGAGCAAGGCCAAATCAGTTGAGTTTATATATGCACAGTACGATGAGCTCCAGGCATTCAGGAAATATGCATCCAAAGAGATAAAGAAAACGAAAATCAAGTTAAACTCAATCTCCGATGCCTGCGACCGGCTTTTGAAATCAATTGATTCTTTTGAAATATAAAGCTATCAGTTCAACGTCAAAATCACTGGATTGCCATTGATGGCTGAATGGGAGTCTTCAGAGCAAACGGCAAATCTCTGCCTACAGCTTTTTAGACAAAGAAGAGTCAAGGAAATATCAATCAATGATATAGTATTAGTAGTAGATATATAATATTATAATATCAAAAGCAAATAGTGTTGACGACCAATTTTAATCTTTTTATAAGCAATTAAATAAAGTCGTGCAAAAACATGTGCTTTTGAAAGTTGTATCAAAACGTAAAGTTAAACAACTTGCAAAACGTTGGATAACAAAGGGAATAAGAAGGTCAATTAAAATAAAGAATAGGTTATATAAAACTGGAAATTGTAGCGAATATAAATCTTAGAGATAAAATCATCACTCTTACACGTTGAAGTAAAAGGCAATATTACTTTGATTTTTTTAATGAAAATGTAAAGATGAAAAAAACATGGCAAGGAATCAATAAACTGTTAAACAACTGTAACAAATATCATAAAATGTTAACGACATTAAAAGACCCAAATAACAGAAATCAAGCTACTAGTGACCCATCACTTATACCAAATATTCTAAATGAACATTCTGCAAGTGTTGGTACCAAACTAGCAAGTAAACTACCCACCAAAAACAATCATATGGATTATCTCAAGAAATTAAAATCACCTGATTCTTCCTTTTTTTCCAAACCAATTTCCCCAGATGACGTTAAACAAGAAATTCTATCACTACCAAACAACAAATTGTATGGTTTATACTCTTGCCCTACCCAACTTCTTAAATGTTCTTCCAATATTTTATCTCCTGTCCTTTCGAACATTTCCATTACTTCTAAAACATCTGGTGTTCACCCATCAAAACTTAAGATCTCCAAAATCACATCTATCTTTAAAAGTGAAGACAAGACTGATGTTTCTGATTACCTACCAATTTCTCTCTTGTCAAATTTTAACAGAATATTTGAAATGCTACAGTATTGCAGAATGAAGGACTTTATTGACAAAAATAGGTTAACACATTCCTCACAGTATGGCTTCCGTAAGGCACACTCCCCAGATCATGTGATCTTTGATATTGTATGGATAAGCATTATTTCTCGTGTGGTGTTTTCATTGACATAAAAAAGGTTTTTGACACTGTCAATCACAAAATACTACTTGATAAACTTAATTTTTTTGGTTTTTGAGGGATTATCAATGAGTGGTTCCAGTCATACTTAGCAAATCGAATGCAAACAACTCAAGTTGGATCACACATATCAACTAAACTAATTTTTCTTATTTGTGGATGACACTAATATTCTCTATGCTGGTAAGTGCCTCAAGTCTTTAGAACAGACGGCCGATGCTGAACTGGTCAATTTACATGACTGGCTAACTACAAATAAATTGACTTTGAATACAGAAACATCAAATCTTGTAATCTTTTGCCCTAGACAAAAGTAAATCTGTTATCCTCTTGAAAATAGGTATATTTGATAGTGAAAAAATGGAAGAGTCAGCTTGGAACATAGGAGTTACATCAAGTATTTATGTGTTTTGATCAATGAGAATCTTTCTTGGAGAAACCATTTGGACTGTGTTATCACTAAAATAAGTAAGACCACAGGAATGATTGCTAAGCTGAGACACTCTGTTCCATCATCTGTACTCACAAATATTTAAAAATCCTTAATTTTATGTTATTTAACTTATGGACTCGTTCCTTGGGGTAGTGCATCTAAAAACTATCTAAACAAAACTATTTTTCTCCAAAAGCAAGTACTACGTCTAATCTACTTTGTTGATACAAAAGAACATGCAATCCCCTTATTTGTAAATGTGATAATTCTGCCAATTACCTTCTTATGAAGCTGTATGTAAATTAATGCTCGACGTTCATAGCGACAATGCACCTTCTAACATCACCAAACTTTTTACAAGAACTTCAAACATCCATACATATAATACTCGCTCATCAACATCACAACTCTCTAGTGTTAAGTACTCGAGGCTTAAAATGCAAAAAAGAAAGCTTTTTTGCGTGTTGGTTTCAAAGTCTGGAAAGAGATGCCCAATGAATACAAAAATTTGTCAAAGAAATCCTTCAAAAAAAGAAGCAAAAAGGGCTCTTCTCAATATTCTAGAAACTGAAGATTTTTATATGGAGCCTGATGAGATAATGCTAAATTCAAACACAGCAAAATTGAATCAAATTGAAGCAGTTCTACAATATTTTTTGTTTACTTAAAAACGCTAGGACTTTTTCTCCTTTACAATGAACATCTGCCATTTTCTTTTTTCTTTTTTTGCAGATCTTTTTGTCCTTTTATGTTATATTTCTTCATTTCCATTTTATTTCCAGTGTAATTAAATTAGGTCATTACAACAAAAAAAAATTTGACCCGCCTCGATTAGCATTTGCTATCTGCGGCTCAAAGGAATATCTTGTAATATGTAAGAAAATGGAAAATAAAAGTGTGAAAGTGAAAAAAAGAAGTGATGAGTATAAGAAAAAATGAAAAGAAATAGCAATGCATCTATACCATGAAAAGCAAGTTCCATAGGATCGATGGCACTATATGATGGTTCGACATCTGATGCATCAAGCTCTGAAATGAAAAGAAACAACATCTAGTATTGTAAAAGTGAAAGGCGTAAGTGGAATAAGTAAAGTACTTTATGCAGTAATATATGTTATTCACCAGACGGGAGGTCAGTATTGGGAAAAACTGTGCCCAAGGTCCTTTCCCATTTCGTTGTCTGTTTGAAGAACAATGTTGCCCATTTTAGTTTCTTGTTTTCATCTTGGGCTTGGAATCCAAAGTGCAGTGCCAATAACCACCAAACTGTGCATTGGAGGGCTTCAGTTTTCAGCACCAAATTCACCTGTGCAAAACAACAAGTCTTCTTCGGCGTTGGATAGTTCTTTTGCAGCATGAGGGTGATTTCCTTTCACCTCTTCAAAAACCAGCTCTTTCTTTTTAGAAAGAAGAACTTCCCTGGACTTAGGAATTCTCGGTCTTTGAGAGTGGTAAGTTTGGAGTTCTTGTTATTTAGATATTGTTGCAGGCTTATTTGAAATGATTGTAGCGTTGCTGGCTCATTCGATCCGCAATCTTTCTTCTTTATCTCCATCAGGAACCAACATATCAAGATGTTGAGCTATTCTGCTGGTTTTTCTTCAATTTTCCTGGCCTTGCCCACCTCAAGAAAGAATCTTTTCCAATTGTGTAGGTCGTATTCTGTTTTTTTTACTGTGTTTTCTGGACATTGTGTTAAAACATACTTTTGCACACTTACTATCAAATTTCATTGAATAGTTTTCTAATTCTATTTCGTTGAGTGTTTAGTTAATGCTGGTAATAGTAGGAACAAAAAGATTTTGTATTGCGAACATTTCTCACTTTGCCTTTGTTGTCTCAAATTTTATCATTTGGCTTGGTGATGCTACCTCAAGACTCCGTCCAGAAAACCTTCTCCCAAGCTTATTTTTCAATAAACTTGATTTGAAGCAGCGTTTTAAAACAAATAAGGTTTCTTGAGATATTAAACCTTATAATTGGAATATTTTGGGTTTTAAATGACTTTGTTGAATATGGGTTGAAATGGTACTGACTTCACTCAGCGTCTTGCTAAATTATGATACTACCTCAAGACTCTGTCCAAAAAACCTTCTTTCAAGCACATTTCTCAACAAACTTGATTTAAAACAGTATTTTAAGAAAATGATAAGGTTTGTTGAGATATTAAACCTTCGGGTTAAAAGATTTTGTGTTTTAATGACTTCATCAAGGCCTTCTTGGACATAGCTGGTGACGTGATTCATTCATATTACCGCGTTCAAAACAAACTTTGTTATGTAATCCACTTATAAGCTACCAACTACATGATAAGCTTATAGCTTTGTGTTATTTCATGAAGTTTGTTTCAATAACATAGCATACTTTATTTAAATACCTTATTTGAAAAGTATTCATATCTATAACCTTTCAGTCTCTGATTCAATCCCATCTAAATTTCAAAGTTCACTGATTTATCAGTTTACATCCTTCAGATTGCATCGATAGTTTGCTTCATGTATTTGACAGATATATATGTTTGTGGTATGTTTGAATTTATTCATGGTGTACCAGTGGTATTGCAGGTCAAACTTTCTTTTGATGTTGCTGGGTTGAAAATGAGATAGGGTGAAACCGATGGATACCCTCTTGCCCTTTCAGCTGTTTTGCCTTCCAAATCACTCCTTTTATTTGCAAGCTTCGAGCGGGAACTTCTTCTTAATTGCATGGGATCTCCAAAACCACCGTCTGAAAAAGCTCCTTGCACATTTCTTTTATCAAATTTATCAGGAATAGGTAGCAATTTCTCAGACATAATTGTTAAAGTAGATGCAAGTTTTTTCTTGCTGAGGAAACTACAAGTTGTTCAAAACTTATCTAGTGGCAGGAATTATACACAACATTCAGTCGTGTGATGATTAACAAACAAGGTCTTTTATCCCTGAAGGCTGGTTTTCATTTGTGACAGAGTCATAGTCAGAGTCATACGATCCAGTGAAAATCAAACCAACGGAGTCAGAAGCAGAACACTGATTCTGCCTATGATTCCGTTGCTTACGATCTAGTGAAAACTGCATTGTCAGAGTCGGAAGCGGAAGCAGAAGAATAGACCAATCACAATACTCGATTCCAGGCCCGCAAAAGTTCAAATTTTGGTGCCAAAGACAACATGGCGGAGGAAGAGCAACTTGTGCTTTGGCTCTCATTAATCATTATTTTGCACAGGCAGAGACAATACAACAGGAATAATATCATTCGGAAAAAGGAAGCGTTTTTGGGTTCGTGATATCTATCGACGTTGAGCAGCCTTGGAAGAGTATGCTAACCTCATCAGCAAACTGCAACTTAGTGATCGTGAATTCTTCTTTTGGTTTCGAGTATTTAAACTTTTAATTTTGTAATTTTACGGTCAAGCTCACACATTTAAATTTGTTTTGGCTATTTTTGCATTTTGGTAAAGGTAATAAATGCAAATTTCATGCCATTTAGATATATACACATGACACCAGAACGCTTTGGGTACTTACTGAGTTTGGTTGGACCGCGAGTTACCAAAACAAACACAAGGATGAGAGAGGCTATCAGTGCAGCTGAAAGACTAACACTGACGCTCCGGTATTTGGCAATTGGTGATGAGCTACAGAGCCTCAGCTTCTCATATAGAATTGGCAGAACAATTGTGAGTCACATTATCAAAGAGACACTCTGTGCTATTTAGTTGGCATTTATGGATAAATATGTAGGCCCACCTAAATCCACCAGCAACTGGAAGAACATTTGAAAGGAGGTTAAATCTACTTGGCATCTGCCGCACTGTATTGGGGCAACTGATGGGAAACATATAGCAATGCAATGCCCCCAAAACAGTGGTTCTTTGTATCAAAACTACAAAGGATGGTTTAGTACTGTACTATTGGCTGTGTGCGATGCAAGTTACAACTTTACTTTAGTTGATATTGGCCAATATGGTAGTACAAATGACAGCAGTGTGCCTAATAACTTTGAAATGGGAAAAGCCTTTGAGGTTGGGTCCATATCAATACCTGAGCCAGACCGTCTTCTGGGATGCAACCTATCTCTTGTTCCCTATTTCCTGGTAGGTGATGAAATCTTTGTGCTTAAACCCTGGCTGTTGCCTCCCTATCCAGGGAAGAATATTAAAGAGGAGCAAATTATATTCAATTATTGTTTGTCTGGAGCAAGGAGAGTAATTTAGAACTGCTTTGGGATCCTTGTGGCAAGATGGAGGATCTTTCGTAGAGCAATTCAAGTGAAAGTTGACACAGTGCAGAAAATTGTACAAGCAAGCGTTGCTTTGCACAATTATCTCAGACAGACAGATACTGCTTGTTACTGCCCAGCTGGCTTCGTGGACAGCTTTGATGGCTCAGAAAATACTCTACCAGGAGAGTGGCGCAAAATCACTTCAGCTGATGAAGGGTCTGGTGCTCTTTGCAGCTTACCCTCCACAAGAGGCTTAAGATATCGCAATTATGCTATGGAAGTGAGAGAGGCCTGGAAAGCTTATGTTAACTCAGAACAAGGTGCAGTTTCCTGGCAATGGGAATACATACGTTGAAGAGGTCCCATTTGTGCACTCTAGAATATTATTCAAATACACTGTGTCAGGTCTATTTAGTGTATTAATTAGCTTATTCATGCTGTAGATCTTGTATAACATTCATTTAAGTCCCCCATCACCTCTCAGCACCTTACCTCACCCCCCTCCCCTGCCAAAAAAAAAAAAAGACTTATCAGAAAATTATAACCAACTACTCTGAACACTAATTCATATATGGTGTTAGGAGCTTTGAGGGAATTCTTAAACTTAACAGAAGGTCTACCATAGCTTATTCACCAAAATGGAGACACTAGAGGAACATTCAAAATACAAAAAAAAGGTTAGAGCATTGTTTAGATTCATAAAGTTAAATATGATGATTATAGGGCAAGTAAGGCATTCATAGACTTGATGCAAAAATGGCTCCCTGTGAGCAAGGTCACATGGGGTGTTTTGAATCAACATAAAAGAATCAAAGTATATTTTTTACACTAAGTAGTTGCTTTTGCACTGGGTCTAATTTACAATATGTTTACCACAGAGAGGGCCTAAACTTGATTCAGTCAGAGGTTACCCTTCTTCTAGTCTAATACTTTAAGAACTCATTTATAATGTAAAACAATGTTCAAATTTGTTTCAATTTTAAATTTAATGCAATTGCATCTGGTGGCATTACATGTGTAACCTTTGCCTATAAAAGAACAACACAACGTTTGTAATAAAAGCAAAATAACTGCACTCACCACTGGAACGTTAATAAGACAAAGCTAAGATGTTCTGAGAGAATGTCTCTTCCACCACACATCAGAATTGACAGTTATTGTAGTTTTGTTTGTTCCTTCATAAATGTTTTCAGCTGTTTAAAATATGCAAAACAATTCCACAAGCAATCCAATGCACATGCTTTATGTTGATAATTTACATTTCACCTGGGTCTTTTCCAGGTTTGTGTATCGGTTCAACTTATCACATTTAAAATGAGTAATTTTTTGCAGATAATGCCAAAATCTACATACTGTGATATCAAGCAAATGATGTATGAATACTATCAAACCTAAAACTTTTTATCAGCTGTGGTTTAGAAGCCACATCAAAATCTCAAGTCACTTAATATACACTGCTGAGATTTTGCTTAGCTGTGCAACTTTACCAATGTGTGCATCAATGCACTTAAGTCAATCAGCACTAGGCTATGTTGTGTGCTTTTCTGACATTCTAAATTCAAGAGTTAGTGTCTTAACTGCAAAAAAATTTGTCGTGGGATGATATGAAATGCATATTTACATACCTCCTAAAGAAAAATAGTGGACAATGAAACTCAAAGAATACCAATGTTTTGGTGAAAGTTATCAAAATGTATGAAACAACACCCTTGTCAAAACATTTTGAAATATTTAAGAACCCTGCTCAAGATCATTAAGAAATCCAGTCAGAGACTTATTTTGATAGAAAAGTTACCCAGGCTTCATGAGAGGTACTTCTCATGGTTCTAGCAGATTAGGAATCTGAAATGGCTTTTGGTTCTGATTCCTGACCACTCTATCCTGGAAGCTGTGATGCTGTAGATGCTGCTGCTGTTGAGGCTGATGTTGTTGTGCCTGATGCAGCCCTTGCATCTGCTGTTGAGGATATTTCCAGGATCCTTTCCCCCCTAGTGTAAGACAAAGGCATTGAGTTGAATAGGGCTAACATTTCTTGATACACAATATTTGAAATCTGTAATTTAGCAACAACTTTTCACTCAGGTGCTATCTGTCGCATTTGGGAAGCTATCAAGGCACCAAACAGTTCATCTTCATCTTTGAAGTCTGGTGTTTGCTTCTGCCCAAGTTTTTCTCATATCGACTGGAGAACTTGCACTTCTGCATTTGCAACATCCTGATTTTTTCCTGCACTTTTTCTTTTCATTTGTAACTTGGGCTTTTTTGTTGGTTGAAAATTACTGGCTGCATGATTGTTAGTGTCACTGGTAGATGTCACAGTTGTATTAGATTTGTCATCAATTTTCGAAATCATCATCTTCCGACCCCTCATTTCCTGAACCAATGGTAATGAAGTTAGAAAATAAAACTGTGTTGTCAGCATACATATTTACAGAACAGTGTTTGACACAACGTGGTAAATCATTAATGTAGACAATGAATAACAGGGGTCCGAGGATGGCCCCTTGCGGCACTCCAGAAGTTATGGCAAGTTATTGTCTCCTGGAACTGTTCATTATAATATCTTTGTTTCTCTTTTCTGAGCTTCAAAGTCACGACATTGTGTAAGTGCTTGTAAGAGCTCCAATGAAGCCCATTGTTTGTCCTCAATGCCAGATTATGAAAGTGATCTCTTTCATTCATTAGTTGTTTCACCTCGCGTGTCAGCCATGGTACCATATGTCCCCTGACTTGAACACAGACTCTTGGGGCATGGGAGTCGGCGACTTCACCAAAAAGCTGTTTAAATGAGTCCCATGCATCCTCAACGTCTGCGAAGGAATTTATCAATGATTACGAAACTTTATTTAGATCTTCAATGAAAGCACACGATTGAAACGCTTGAAATTACAGGTATCAGTTATCCTTGGGGGAGGTGGTTTTAAATGATGTAGTTTACAGACGGCATATGTCCCAGAGTGATCACAAAAGCCAACTGGTATTACCCCCGAGACATATAGAACCAAACGACTGGTAAAAAAGAAATCCATCAGAGTCTTTGAATTTTCAGTTATGCAAGTGAAATTGTCAATAATCTGCCGCAGACTAAACTCTTCCGTCATGTCAATAAAGCGCTTTGTAGATGCAGGTTTATTCGACTGTTTCAGGTCGAAATTCAGATCCCCCGGTAATGACAATTTCCTTTTCCTGATCAGCCACTACTGTTAACATGTTTCTCAAGCCCTCAACGTAAGTTGCTATGTTATCCGCATTCGGTGGATGGTAGCAGGAACAGAAAATAAAACCTTTAGATTTTGGAGGTGTTATTTCCATTCAAAGACGTTGAATATCCAGTTGATCATTTTCAAATTCTTGAATAACCTTGTAATTGAGGTTTGAGGAAACGTAAATGAGAACACCACTATTTCGGCGGGTTTTATCTCTTCGTACAAGTGAGTAGCCGGGAAGCTGAATTTCACTGTTGCTTATTGATGAATCTAGCCAAGTTTCGTTCAGGGACAGAACGTGCTTTTGGTGGGTCTCACAAAAAAACCCGCATCTCATCGATCTTGTTGACAAGACTTCGCACATTCAAATAACAAATTCTTAAGCCTTTGACCATACTCAGCTTGAAATTTCCATTTTGAGAAATTGATTCAGGACCAGGGTTTCACTCAACATTACCACTCGACAAGAGTAGCAATAAGCATAGGTAATAGGCCAAGCAGAGGTGGTGTGCTTTGAGAGTTTGACTTTATGGTTGCCCGCCATGTTGACTTCTCAAGCTGCAAACTCATTCAGTGCAGTTTGAGCTAGTTTTGCCGTGGAGTCGTTTTTCCAGCACTCGTTTAATCCTTCCAAAGGTTCTGTACCAAGCAGACTGCCATGTCGAAACATTTTATGCCGGTTTACCGGCATAATAAAGCAAAGAAGTTGAAATAAGTAGACAGCTGCCAAGATACCAACCAACCCTGTCGCCGCCATCGTTTCTGTTTCTTCACTTTTACTTTCTGTGATGTGATTGGTTTATTCTTCAGCTTCCGCTTCCGACTCCGACATTGCAGTTTTAAGTAGATTGTAAGCGACTGAGTGATAAGCAGAATGGCAAGAAAATGGAAACATTCTGATTCTTCTGATTCCGATTCCATCGAGCTTGTGACTCTGCTCACAACTCCCTTTTTTGATTTTCACAGGGTCATAAGCGCTCTTATGACTCCGACTATGACTATGACTCTAACTCTGTCACTGATGAAAACCAGCCTTGAGGAAAACCACATGACGCTCTAAACTCATTAAGCAGCAATAACAGCACAAATATGCAAGTTTTCTCTTTGAAAAACATGGCATGTTCCAAACTTGTTGAAAGGTGGGAAATTATTAAACACAAGGTTTCAATAAAGTAATGGTAAGCAAACAAGTATTGATTCCTGTCCTGAGGAAAACAGCATGAAGTTCCAAACTAGTCAAGGAGCAAGAAACAATACAAATAGAAGATTTTCCTCCCTGAGGAAACAGCACGGCTACCTCTCCTAGGGATCCAAATTCTAATAAGAATAAGCAGTTGGTGCTGTCCCAGAGAATCAAATGCTCCAAATCCTCGAGCTGAGGAAACTTTGCAAAAACAGTTATTTAACTATAGCTTTCGCTTTTTTGTGTGTGTAGCATTACAAGATATCATACAATGATCACAATCACAATAAAACTGTTTTGCAAACCAAAACAGCTGCACAAAGATAAAACTCTCTCCAAAATGTCAAAGCATATGCAATTCCCAAGTGATTTTCACATGACACACAAGGTAACATAAAACCAGAAATGAAACTAAAATGGAAATCAAACAATAACCACAGATTAATAATTGACTATATACACAGCACATGCATATACATCTAATACAAACTGGACGTCCATGCTTGCTCTCCCTACACGTAGACAAGCAGAATTAAAGTTATTAATACAAAGCTCATTTGGTTTTCTTTTTAGAAAGATTCTTGTGAATTGATAGATGAGCGTATTGTGAGAAATTGGGTTTCTTCTGTGAGTTTGAGATTGAGAAGTAGCTCATTATAAGAAACACCTTCCTTCATATTATCTAGGTATGGTTGTATTGATTTTCATGTATTTTCGTGCTTTTTAATCTCACTTTTAGGAAAATTGTTATCTTGAGGATGCAGGATTTTTAAACAAAAACCTTCAAACTTTACTCTTGTGTAATCACATAGTGTTGTCTTATTTCCTTTAAACTGGCTTCACCTTTACTATACCTTTGTGCATGGCCAGACCAAGAACCTAAGTATTGACCTTAGTGAAAATATTCTTGCAGTGAAGGAGGAATCTGGTTCAAAATAAATGGCTACTAGTATTGCCATAGAGACA